GCACAGCCCAGCAGCTCAAAGGAGACTCAGCACAAACCCCTTGGCTGCATACAAATTTTACACATGAGGAAAATACTACACACTAAGAAAATGTGATCCTGTTTAGGTGTTTCCTTGCAGGTTGGGTTTGATTGGAAAAATGAAATTGTCTCATTTTTTTGTTCTATGTGCAAAATTTGAATTAAAATACAGGAAAGTGACTTATAAATGCTTTAGTTGGTGTTTGTTGGCTCAATATCCCAGGTTTCTTGGGACCTCTTTGAAATGAGTGTTCTAGTTGAAATTAGCAGTGCTGCTTTTAAGATCCTTTCTCTTTGGGAATGATGTGGAGTTCTGTCTGTTCTGGCATACACCAGTTTTTCCAAGGCAGTTACATTAAGAAACACCCTCTTTTTAGTGAGATAGTGCCACAGTTGCCTCAGCCATTGCCTGCCTCTCTCTTGGCTTTGGATTTTGCTCTCTGGTCGCTGTGACCATCCCAAGGGAGACTCAGCATAGCCAGCGGTCCTCAGTGAGACACAGCGTGTGAGTAAAGTGTGAGTACACTCAGAGTTGCTGATAAAGATGATTCTGCTACCAGTGCCAGCTGCACAGATGTGTATTTCTGTTAAATCACAATTTAACAGGGTGCTCTCAGCAGCTTCCTGCTGTGTGTAGGTGTGATTCCCGGGAGCACCCTGGGGTGCCACTCCGTATGAGGTTGCACTGAGTGTTTTCTGGGCTTGCTAATTGCAGGTTAAAGTATTGGTGAGGCAAATGCAGGTCCCTGCAGGACACAGCTGGTGTTTGCTGTTGGCTGTTCCCAGAGCCCAGGCAGTGTCCCCTCCTTGCTGCCATCCTGGGATTCCTCCTGCTGGTCCCCCAGCTCCCTCCCTACCTTGTTCCACGACACCGAGTATCACAGCTCACCTGTGTGCCATCCCTTCCCCTTCTCTGTGCCCAGCACTGCAGGTTTCTCCTCCTCCACTTGTTCCAAGTTCAGTATTCTTTCCTCTGTTGTGCATCCCAAGTGTGAGCAGTCCCAGGATCACTGCTTCCTCGGGAATGCAGAAGTGGTGTTGCTCAGCCTGGTTGGGGTTTGAACAGAGGCTGTCTTGCACAAAGAGCTTGTGTTACTCACACGGTTTCATACCGAGTTTAAAGTAAATTATTAATTTCCATTAATGATGTTGATGAGGAATGTGTAACTACAGTCAGGGTGTTCTGGTGATGGAAGAGAGCGATCTGGATTCGAAGGAAATAAACTGTCACCACACCACACTGTGCTGGTGCCACGCACACCCTGCCCAGCTTGCACCTGCTGGCTGGTGCCCTCTGCTCGTGCTCTAAGGGCCAAAGAGAAGCAATTCCCTGCTGCTGCCGTGCCCGGTGCCACGGCGGGGTCTGCTCTGCACCCCTGCCCACAGCCCTGTCCTGACCCCGCCGCTGCCTGGGGCACAGCACCCCTGCTCCCCTTGCAGGGCTTGTTTCCAGCCTCCCCTTCGTTTACTTTTCTTCCTGTGTCACTTGGTGTTCCCAGTGGAGCCGTTTGCACCCTCAGTTCTGTCCAGCAGCCTCTCCCCAGCTGTTAGGGTGAGGCGGCTGGCTCTGGTTTGGTTCATGTCCTTGTCACCGGCGGGGAGCGGGGGCAGGAGAGCCCTAGCAAGGCTTGTATGAAACGTGGCCATTCTACCTTCCAGCCAAGGACTCGCCTTGGTAGCTCATGGAAGTTCACTCTGTCTTATCCATACTCAAAGCGATTAATTCTTTGGTTTTGTATTTTAAAAAACCAACTTAGATATTTGTGTCCACTGCAGATTTATTTTAAATGGAATATGTGAGTACCATGTATTATGGTATTTTTAAATAATCTATTGCCTATTTTGGGGGGAGGGAGATGACAAATATTTAGTCTTAGATTTGCACTGCTGGATTTTTTTAAGTGTAACCTTGACTGGTTATCCTGGTGTTTTATTCTGTAAGATTAGTCTTATGAATTAAAGTTTGATAATTAAGTATTTCTGTGTTTGAGTGTTTCAATATTCTGTATGTACTGAGCTGCTTCCTGCTGCACGAACAACTGTGAGCAAAGGGTTTGTAGTGAGTTTCTTTGCAGGAAGATGGACACGGGTCAAAGTTCAGGGGACCCTACACCTGCTGGCATGTCAAAGCCACGAGTGCCCATCTCCCGCGGTGGGGATTTGGGTTCTGCTGCCACGGGCTGTGACTTACGGGATGGTCTCCACCTCCCTGCCCCAAGCCGGGCTTTAATCTGCCCTTGCACCGAGACTGGCCGGTCCTGCTGGGCTGGCCTGGCTGCGGTGTCAGTCCCACTCCCCCTGAACAGCCCGGCTGTGCTCGGAGCAGCCCCAGCGCTGGGCTCAGCACCCTCGGGGCTGCCGTGCCGAACCGGCCTGCTCGGCCTGGCCTCCGCCTTTAGACACCTGCTGTCCCCAGCCGCACCATCTCAGGTCAGCAGCCGCAGCTTGCGGGGCTCTCCAGCGTGTGCCCGCGGGCAGGTTCCCGCTGGCTCTGCGGTCCCGGTGTGCCCTGCCGCTCGGTCCCGCACTCCGTCAGGCGGGCTCCCGGCGCAGCTCCCGGCACACGGGGGGCGGCAGGAGCCGGCTCCGCCGCGTTACCGGGAGGGCCTCGCCCCGCGTTACCGGCGAGAGGAACTGTCCTCGGCGCGGTGCCCGCGGCCGGGCTGGGGCCGGTCCCGCGGCGGGGCGATGCGGGGGCGTGCGCTGCCCGCGGGGGCGGCTCCTCCCGCGGTCGGGAACCGGAGGGGAGCGGGGCGGGGAGGCCGGCGGGCCCGCGGGGGGGACAGCGCCGGGAGGGGACAGCGCCCGGAGGGGACAGCGCGCTGCCCGCGTAGCTCCCGGTGCTCGCCGGTGCTCGCTGTGCCCCGCGTGTCCTGCGGGAGCACACCGCACTTGGCGCCCGGGGTGTGACGGGCACCCCGCGCTCGGGGCAGGTGCGGCAGCGCGGGCGGGAGCGTCCCGCGGGTGACACCGGGGCGCGGGGCTCGCCCCTCGGCCGGGGCACCCGCGAGGTGTTCGTGGTGCGGGTGAGGGGCCGTGGTGCCCGCGGGGCCGGGATGCTGCCGGGGGGCCCGCGGCCGTGCCTGGGGGGCGTTGGCCGCTGTGCGATGGAGCGCCGGGCTGTCACCCGGAGCGGAGCTTGTTCTCCATCCTCCCCCCCGGCCCTGGCTGTGGCCGGCAGCGGTGTCCCCTTCCCCGGGTGCCCTCGGCCCCCTCCCGCCCGGTGCTGCCCGCGGAGCTGCTGCCTGTCAGGGTGGCGCCTTCGGAGCCGGATGCAGCTCCTGCAGCTGGTGGCGGTTCAAGTGGATAGGCAGCGTGCCAGGGTGGCTTTGGGTTACACGGCTGGAGCTGCTTCAGTGGAGGAAGCAGGGGATGCTGGCACCGAGTTTCTGTCTGTACTTGGCCGTTCCTCTCTATCCATCCCTGGGGAAGCGAGTGTGCCCCAAGCCCACGGCTGAGCTTGGCCCCAGTGGCATCACTGCGGAGCCCAGAGTGCTGTGGTGGAGCCTCGGGAAAGCACAGCCCGTGGGAACAGCCACACTTGTGGCTGGGGCTGGGACCAGGGGGAGGGTGGCAGCTCCCAGGCATCCAGCGCTCCCAGTTCTGCCCATGGTGGTTTATGGGGAACAGCCAGGCAGCCTGGCCTTTGCCCAAGTGCCCTGGCACCAAAACACTTGCAGAAGGGATGGAAACAACCCCAGTGCTTCGGGGGGAAGGATGCAGAGAGCCCTGACAGCTGGGGGGGCCCAGCAGTCTCAGTTTCCCCCGGGCAGGTGGGAAGAGCACACTGCAAGAGCCCTGTATCTGCCAGCCTGGCATGTCCCCAGCCAGCAGCAATGCCACCTGCATGGCCATAGGGGCTGGAGGAGCCCTGGTGGGGAGCAGGCCCCTGCCATGGCCTCCGGGCAAAGCCAGGGCGGGGAAACTCACTCTGACCTCACCTGAAAATTAAGCAAAAAGAAGTGCAAATAAAAGAACTGGGCTGGAGGCGTAGAGATAGAGGTGCATTGTGAGGGAGGTGGTGTGTGTTTCTGTGCTTTGTTGCAGCTGAAGGAATTTCCTGGCCCTGCCGTGCCACAGCCACTCTAGTACTGCCCGGTTCTGCTCTGCAAATGGTCTCAGACTCGCATGCAGGTCCTGGCTGGGCACAGGCTGCTGGCTGGTCCCTGCTCCACAGCCAGGACAGGCCCCCAGGACAGGCTCTGCCAGCTCAGGCTCCCAGAGCAGCGAGGGGACTACTGAGGGGCTGGGCTCCAGGGGTGTCCTTGTGCCCCTCACGCTAATCTTAGCCAGCCAGGGGCTCAGGCACTGCTGCCAAATCCCTGGCATCAGGGAGTGCCAGAGCCGTGTGGGTCCCGTGCTGTTTGCCCATCCCTGTTTGCTGACAGGGTGAGGCTGGCATATGTGGCACTGGCTGAGCTGGCACTCGCTATGCAGACGCCATACGTGGAAGCAGCAGCTCCTCTTCCCAGGTGAATTTGCAATTACTTCCTCAATGTCAGGTAGCTGAAACCTGCAGCTCTGAAGGCCTGAGCAAGCAATCATCACTTCTCTGGCATGAAAAGTCACCAGACTTGTTTGTTTCTGGAAGGAGCCGACGGTCGGGCTGCTCTTGTCACCTTTAGAAAGGCATCTAGGGTTGTGACTGGGAACAGCCACACTGCAATTCATCCCACCTGTGGGAAAACTTGTTCCAGGGAGAGGAGGGAGAGGGAAGGCTGCTCCAGCCCCAGGATGGCCCTGGTGGGATGGGAGCCAGGGGCCATAGCTGTGGGTGGTGCTGGTCACTGAGGGTGCAGCTGCCCCAGGAGCTGAGCTGCACAGAGGAGCCAGGCTGGGGGATTGTTCCCAAGTCTGGCTGATCTCTTGAGGACGGTGTGTCTGTCCTAGAGCCTCAAAGGTGGTGCTGTGACTGTCCCAGAAACACTGCTCTTCATCTCCACACTGGATGGGAACCTCCATGCCGTCAGCAAGAGCACAGGGGACATCAAGTGGACCCTGAAGGATGGTGAGTAGTGGCTGAGGGGCATTTGCTTATAGCCTAGCTCCTGGAGAATGTTTGGGGTTTGGGAATGCTCTCCTGGCCTGGCTCTTGCTGGATGGGCTCCGGGCTGCCAGTGCCTCCAGGGGTGCACTGCCAGCCCCAGCCCCAGGCACAGCTGAGCACGGATGAGCATCTGCCATTGGTGTCTCTTTTGGCTCTGAAAGGCAAACAGGCTGCGTGGCTGGGCTGGGTGACAGTGCCACTCTGGGTAAACAGTGGTGTTGTGCTGTCCCACTCACAGGAGCGCTGCTGATGTGGCCTCTCACTCTCTGTTTCAGATCCCATTCTGCAGGTGCCGGTCTATGTGGCAGAGTGAGTGTCACCCCCACTGGGCAGTGCAGGAGGCTCCCTGATAACTGATGGAGCAACAGCAGGAAAGGGGCACCACAGAGAAATGAAATGCCCAGCCCATGCTGTGGCATCACCTTACCCTGACCCTGGTGCTGGCACGTGGCACATGGTGATGAGGAGGAGCTGGCACCTGCTGCACAGCCGAGGAGCTCTCAGCTCAACTACACACACCAGCATGGAGAGAAATAGAGGGAAATCTCCCTGAAAGCTCAGGGGCAGGCGGGGCAGCAAGAGCTCCTTGAGACAGGCAGGGCATCCACCAGCCTGGTGGGTGGGCACTGGGTGGCTGTGGGAAGTCCCAGGACTGACCAGAGTGGGATTTATCTCCTGCCAAATCCAGTGCTGCAGGTGTCCAGGAAAGGTCAGGTCCTGCAGGGACTCAGCCCAGAGCAAACTGCTAAAGGGGATTCTGCAGTGTAGCCACTCTGTGTCCTTGGAGGTGCCCAGGGCAGGGGGTAGCTCACGTTTTATCCTCTCGTGCTTCCCAGGCCAGCATTCCTTCCAGACCCCAATGACGGCAGCCTGTATATCCTGGGAGGAAAGAACAAAGAAGGTTTGATGGTCAGTAGGGCTGTGGGCATCCTGTGAGCCCCTGCGGTGCCCTGGGCTGCAGAGGTGACTCTGCCCTGCACCTGCGTTGCAGAAGCTGCCGTTCACCATCCCGGAGCTGGTGCAGTCCTCGCCGTGCCGCAGCTCGGACGGAGTGCTCTACACCGGTACGGCGCGGGACGGCGCTGCCGGGGGCTCCGGGAGCCCTGCAGGGCCACGGCAGGGGCTCAGCGGGAGCTCCTGGGGACAGGGGGCTGCAGGGGCTTGCAAAGAAGGCATTTTCCTTCTCAGGGAAGAAGCAGGACACCTGGTTCATTGTGGACCCCAAGTCAGGGGAGAAGCAGACCACCCTCTCAACAGAGGCCTGGGATGGTCTGTGCCCATCCAGCCCCTTGCTCTACATCGGACGGACCCGTAAGTGCCCCCACCGACCACCTGGTGACAGGAGGGGGGCACTGGAGGTGACCTAGTGCCCTGCTCCTGTCCCCAGAGTACGTCATCACCATGTATGACACCAAGTCACGGGAGCTGCGCTGGAATGCCACCTTCTCCGAGTACTCTGCCCCGCTCTGCGAGGAGTCCTACCACTACAGTGAGTGAACTGCAGCAGCCAAGGGAGCCGTGGCAGTCACGGCATCCTGCTCCCCAGTGCCCACTCAGAGCAGGACTCTGGCTGTGCAGGGGCCTGGGGTGGCAGTGCCAGGGCCAGCAGGTCCCAGCTGTGCCCAGTGCTGGGGAGAACAGGCAGCAGCCCATGGCCAGTGGCAGAACTGGGGGGGACCAGAGGAGACACAGCCCAGCTGCTGCATCCCTCATCCCTCTTGCTCTCTCCAGAAATGGCACACTTGGCCTCAAGCGGGGACGGGCTGGTGGTGACCCTGGACAAGGAGAGCGGGGAGGTCCTGTGGGCGCAGAACTACGGCTCACCTGTGGTTGGCATCTACCTGTGGCACCAGGACAGCCTGCGCCGCCTCCCCCACCTCAACCTGGCCATGGAGACCCTGCGCTATCTGACCTTCCAGTCACAGGACATCCATGTCCTCAAGTGGAGCTACCAGTCCGTCAAGGACTTCGCTGCCACCAAGACCCAGCTGCTGTACGTGGTTCCTGAGCGGTGGCAGCCGGTGGCATTCATGTTCCCTGTGCTCAGCCACCCCGATCCGTGAGGGGTGGAAGGTGATGCTTGTCCTCGCCCTGCAGGCCGGCGCTCTACGTGGGAAAGCACACGACCAGTTTCTACGCCGTGACCTCCCTGGTGCACGGCAGCGTGGCGCTGGTGGTGAGCGTCCCCCCGCCCCGCTGGAGCCACCATGGCGCGTCCGGCCGCCTGGTGCCCCACGAGCTGCCACGTCCCCAGCCCCAGGGCATCACGCTGGCCAGGATCGACGGCCCCACCACGGACGACGTGACCATGAGGGAGTCCGGGGAGTGCGAGATCATGCCCAGCACGGACGTCAAGTACCCGCAGGGCAGCATCGCCTCACCTCCCAACCAGTGGCTCCTCATAGGTGCGGAGCCGTGGTAGGCACAGACTCACCCATGTCCTGGCTCCCAGGTGGAGCTGCTGCTGTGCTTTAGGGGCAGTAGGCCAACCTGCTCTGCCCAGTGGGGTGAATGGGATTAAGGCTGTGTCACCTCGGGCTGTGGTGGTGCTGGTTTGGGATTCCTTTCAGCTCTTCCTTGTCCCTTCCTTCTTGGGACTCATTTCAGTCCCTCCTTGTCCCCTCCCCAAGAGTGACTGCCAGACACCCCGTGCAGGGGTGGGCAGGGACCCTTTGAAGCAGGGCTCACATTTACCCATGAGAAGCAACCCACTTACTCCAGGAGAGCCAGGGCTGCTGGCAAGGGATGGATGCTGAAACCAATATGTGAACTGAGGGTTGTCTCTGTTCCCCTCCTGCCACAGGGCACCATGAGCTGCCTCCTTTGGTCCACACCACGATGCTGCGAGCCTTCCCAGAGAACCTGAGGAAAACCACGGAAACCATCATCCCCAGGGCTCCTCCCAGCAGGACCGTGTTTGACGATGTGAGTGGTGAAGGCTGCTGGCTCACTGAAGGGCCTGTGCTGCTTGGGGTGCAGTGGGTCCCCAGCATGGGGCAGGACAGGAAGGAAGTCCCAAACCCAAGTGCCCTGAGGGCTGTGCCTCACCCAGCCCTGGGTGTGTGTTGCAGTTCCTGGCCCCGAGCAGCCCGGAGGAGCCAGCTGTCCGCAGCGAGGGGCAGCTCCAGCCAGACCCCACGCCGGGGGAGCAGGTGGAGGTGTACCCCGAGTCTGGCACCTGGGACCTGGTGATGGCTGGCGTTGGCACAGCTCTGCTGGGCGGGGGAATCCTGGTCCTGCTGCTCACGGTGAGTGCTGGTGGTGGGGGGAGAGGGAGAGCGGAGCCGATGCCCCAGCGTGGCTCCAGGCTCTGAGTATTCCCATGTTTGTGTTCCAGAAACTGCAGCGGCAGCATGTGGCCCAGCAGCAGCAGCTGGAGGAGCAGATACAGCTCCTGCAGCGGCAGCAGGAGATGCTGCGCTCGGGCCGAGTCTCCAGGGAGGGCATCCCTGAGGAGCCCAGGGAGCTGGAGCTGAGCCAGGGCAGGGCCTCAGAGCTCTCACTGAGCTCCAGCCCCTCTGCCTCCCTGAAGGACTCAGCTAATGGGACAGTCAGCCCAGAGCCAGCTGTCCCAGGGGCTGAGGAAGGTGGGTGCAGGGGGAATTTCTGTCCAGAAATGCCAGCACCCAGAGCAGGTGCAGGGATGCCCTCAGAGGAGAGGGCTGCAGCCCAGCTGGGATGGGAAGGGGTGCCAGATCTGCTGTTGGATAAGCGTGGGCTACATAAGAGTAGTAGGGCCCAAGAAATGGCCAAATGAAATGGTTCTGTCCTCTATACAGAACTAATGCTTGGAGGCTGGAAGGTGGCTGTCTTCTCTCCATTGCAGATGCAGAACCAGACCTGGTTGTAGTTGGGAAAGTTTCTTTTAACCCCAAGGATGTGCTGGGCCATGGAGCTGGAGGAACCTTTGTCTTCAGGTGAGTGACACTGGGTGCCTGCCCCACTCTGCTCCCTTTCTCCCTGCGAGGCACAGGGATAGCGACAAGGCAGCTCAGGGTGGTGGCCACTGGTTCAGGGACTTTTGAGAACTCACCCCCTTCATCTTCTTCTGGTCTCATCCCACCCATCCTGGAGCTGGGCTCGTGGCCCTTGTTGACCAGGCACCGGGTGCACAGGGCAGGTCCCCCTTGCAGCCCCTCCCTGCCTGCCCCTCGCACGCTTCCTAGGCTCTGGCTGAGCCCCTTTTCCAGCACTGAACACAGAAAAAGTGAGGGATGTCATTTTCCTACAAAACTGAGACCCTCCATTTCCCAGCTTACACTGGGCAGATCTCTTCCTGCCGGTGATGTGACAAGGCTTTGGGGTGCAGCAGAGTGACCTGTGCTGGGGAGGCTGTGCGTGAGCGTGGCTGGGCCCTGCTGCACACGGACACTCCGGGGGCTCTCTGCACAGGGGGCACTTCGAGGGCCGCAGGGTGGCCGTGAAGCGTCTCCTGCCCGAGTGTGTCCACCTGCTGGACCGTGAGGTGCAGCTGCTCCGGGAGTCGGACGAGCACCCCCACGTCGTCCGCTACTTCTGCACGGAGAGGGACCGGCAGTTCCACTACATCGCCATCGAGCTGTGCTCCGCCACGCTGCAGGAGGTGAGCCGGCCACAGGGCTGCTGCTGCGGCCCTGGGAGCCCTGCCAACACCAGCCTTGGGCACAGACAGCCTCTGCAGGGGCTCCTCTCCGTCACCCCCCATCACGCTGGGGTGGGGTGTCTCTCCAGCCAGTAAATCAGGCTTAGTTCCTCTCCTCCTGTGTGGTTCCAGTACGTGGAGAGCCCCAGCTTCGAGCGCCGTGGGCTGGACCCGGTGTCCGTGCTGCGTCAGACCATGTCCGGGCTGGCCCACCTGCACTCCCTCAGCATCGGTGAGGACCAGCAGTCCCCTCTCCAGCCTCTCCTCAGCGGATGCTGCGGGGTTTGGGCAGTGTCTGTTGGGGTTTGGGCAGTAGCTCTGGGGCTCAGCAGCACATGGGGCTGTGGCAGAGCCCTGTTTGCTCCAGCCCTGCCAGGTGACACCACACCCTGTCACTTGCAGTGCACCGTGACCTGAAGCCCTGTAACATCCTCATCTCTGTCCCAAACCGCCACGGGCAGATCCGCGCCGTCATCTCTGACTTTGGCCTTTGCAAGAAGCTTCAGGGGGGACGACAGAGCTTCAGCCTCCGCTCCGGGATCCCCGGCACTGAGGGCTGGATCGCGCCCGAGGTGCTGCAGGAGGCCCCGAAGGAGAACCCTGTCAGTGAGCCGTGGCCTCCCCTGCCCTGGGTGCTCCTTGGGCCCATTGTGGCAGTGTCCCCATGCTGGCACTGGCCTCAGGTCACACTGCTGGGGTGCACAATTAAGATGAGAGCTCCATGAGCCAGAGCCAGCCCAGACACAGGCGCTGTGCTCCTTGCCAGGGCTGTCCCCATCCCCTGCCCTTGCAGGACAGTGCCCAGCTGTGTTCAGCACTTGTGTTCAGCACAGGTGTCTCCATTAGTCCTCAGAAATTCGGGGTGGGGGGATTGGAGGGGCTGAGGGATGCTGCCAAGGTCATGCTTCTCCTCTCTTCAGAATTGGGGATCTCATTCCCACTGGGAGCAGCTGCTGCACTGATCCTGGGCAGTGCTGGGGCTCATGCTGGTGTCCATTTGCCTGCTGGTGGGACACCAGCAGCCCCTGCAGTCTGTTGGGCTGTGGAGTCCTGAATTCTGGTGTGCCTCTGGAAACCCCTTCTCTCTTGGGGACCTGGCGTGATGGGGCTCCCTGACGCAGGTAGCAGAGCAGGAGCCCCATGTGATGCATTTTCCAGCAGCTCTGCAGCCACTGACCAATTGTCCACATGAAAGGACAGAAAAGTGGGAGGTAAAGGTTTCCTCGCCTTTGCCTGAGGGTCCCACGTGCCCCCTGTGTTTTGCAGACCAGTGCTGTGGACATCTTCTCAGCCGGGTGCATCTTCTACTACGTGGTGTCGGGGGGACAGCACCCCTTTGGGGACAGCCTGCGGCGCCAGGCCAACATCCTGGCGGGCTCCTACCAGCTGAGCTGCCTGCAGGAGGAGGCTCACGGTGAGACCCTTCCCCAGTGGCACAGCACCGCGGGGAGGCTCTGGGCTGAGGGCAGTTCCTGCTCCTGGAGCAGGGGCGAGCTCTCTGCTGTTTTGCTTCACCCCCAGACAAACTCGTTGCGAGGGAGCTGATTGTGGCGATGATCAGCTCCGAGCCCCAGCGCCGGCCCTCGGCCCCCGTGGTCCTTGTGCATCCCTTTTTCTGGAGTCAGGAGAAGCAGCTGCAGTTCTTCCAGGTGAGCCTGTGCTGTCCCACTGGCAGTGAACACAGGTATGCACTGAAAAATGTGCTGGGAATGGCTTTGTTTAGGTCAACATGCTTATTGTGAGCTACTCTTAGGAGGGGTGGAGGGGTCTCTGGGTCTCTGTCCCACGTCGTGCAGAGCAAGGGCAGTGCCATACCCACCTCTTGGGCACATAGGACGTCAGTGACCGTGTGGAGAAGGAGCCAGCCGAGGGGCCCATCGTCTCAGCCCTGGAATCGGGGGGACGGGCGGTGGTGAGGACCAACTGGAGGATGCACATCTCCCTCCCGCTGCAGATGGGTGAGCATGGAGGGGCCAGGCTCATCATGGGGTCCAGTGAAGCAGGTAGGGACTGGGGCTCCAGGGGCTGGTGCTTTTACTGGCCAGCAGGCACCTGCTTGTGCCCAGGAGCCAAAAGGCAGGGCAGGTGAAGGTGGCAGCCCTTCCTTGGGAGGCCACAGTGCAGCAGGGCTGGGGCTGGCACTATGGGGCGTGTGGCAGCCCCCAACCCCGCTGTGTCCCCCCTCAATCCGTGTCTCTCCTGTTGCCCCCAGACCTGAGGAAGTTCCGCACCTACAAGGGGGGGTCAGTGCGTGACCTGCTGCGGGCCATGAGGAACAAGGTACGGGCACCCAGCTGCCCTTGGCCCTGCCACCTCCACTGTCCCCGTCCTCTCTCACCTCACCCTCTCTCCTGCAGAAGCACCACTACCACGAGCTGCCGGCCGACGTGCGGCTGGCCCTGGGCTCTGTCCCCGAGGGCTTCGTGCAGTACTTCACCTCCCGCTTCCCGCGGCTGCTGCTGCACACGCACGGAGCCATGCGGGTCTGTGCCCACGAGCGCACCTTCCACTCCTACTACTGCCAGGGCCTGAGGGGCGACGGCGCCTGAGGGCCGCGGGTCATGGCTGAGGGGCGATGGTGCCTGAGGGCCGCGGGTCATGGATGAGGGCTGCAGGTCATGGCTGAGGGGCGACGGCGCCTGAGGGCCGCGGGTCATGGCTGAGGGCTGCGGGTCGTGGCTGAAGGGCAACAGTGCCTGAGAGCCGTGGGTCATGGCTGAGGGGCGACGGTGCCTGAGGGCCACAGGTCATGGCTGAGGGCCGCGGGTCATGGCTGAGGGGCGACGGCGCCTGAGGGCTGCAGGTCATGGCTGAGGGCCGCGGGTCATGGCTGAGGGCCATGGGTTTTGCCCAAGGGCCGTGGGTCATGGCTGAGGGCCATGGGTTGTGCTCAAGGGCCATGGGTCATGGCTGAGGGCCATGGGTTGTGCCCAAGGGCCGTGGGTCATGGCTGAGGGCCATGGGTTGTGCCCAAGGGCCACGGGTCATGGCTGAGGGCCATGGGTTGTGCTCAAGGGCCACGGGTCATGGCTGAGGGCTGTGGCCGCTGCTCCCCGCCCGGGCCCTCTCTCGGCGTCCTGCTGCCGGGCCAGGCGAGGGCACGAGGCAGCAGAGGTATCACAGTCAGACTCAGGTGTGAAGGCATTTGGGTCAGAAAACAAAGACATCTCAGGTGGACGAAGTGATTGGAGAAGAAAGAGGAAAACACGTTGTGTTTTCACAGCGGGGCCCTGGCACAGCGATGCCCTCAGTCTGCCGTCAGCCCCAGGGGACATCCACCAGGGACAGGAAGCTTTGTCCCGCTTTGTGCAGTGGGTTCTCTCATGTGCCAGGGGACACAGCTCCTTGAGCACACCAGGCCCCCAGTCCTGACACTGGAGCTGCCCCTCAGCCCCAGCGGGGCTGTGCTCTCCAGGCCAGGCTGAGCAGCCACCCTGGGGCTGGGACCTGCCCGTGGCACCCGGGCTGTGAGGGCACAGCCCCGCCATGAAGGTGTGAATCTCAGCTGGGCTCAGAACAGGGGTTTCTCCCTTAGGGTCCCCAGCAGCCTGTACCTGTGCCAGGCCTGGTGGCACTGCAGTATGGAACAGTTGCCCCTGGGATCCTTCCCTCAAAGACAGGCCTATGCCTGCAGCTCCCCCAGCCTCTCCTGCTGCCCAGGGCGGGTGTCCCATGAGTGCTTTGGTTCATGGCATCCCCATGGGCATGTGTTCCCTGCTAGCCAGCCTCCAACACCAACTGAGCCCATGGGCACAGAGAGCCCCACAACAAAGCTCCTCTGTGGAACAGCAATAATTGTGTATAGTCTGATTCCTGTGTGTGCTGGGGTGTGGGATTTTGTTACACAGGTAACAGGGTTTGTACCAAGTTTATTTTCAGAATATATTTCTACAAAATGTTATAAAAATTAAAAAATAAAAACGAAAAAGCTGGTCCTGCTTAAAAACAAACTGGCCTGAGGGCACCTCTCGGTTGTGCTGATTCTTTAGCAATCATTCGTCATGGAACCAAGGAAGAGGCAAGCCCAGCCCAGGGCTAGCAGTAAGGGTAAGAGGATGCCTCATTCAGAGGGGAAGCCAGAGAGCTGCTGCCCCCCTCTCAGTAAGGCAAAGGGAAGTGAAACAGCCTGGGTGCTGTGTCAAACAATCTTTATTCAAGTTATGCAATATACAAAAGTTGAGGTTTCGTGGAGTTTCAGTATTAAAAGGCCAATTGCTCAAATCTCACCCTGGGTTTGTTCAATACCTTACCTGACCTTCTACCAGAGGAAATGAAGCCCAGAGCACGGGCGCAGCCATGTACAGACACCTCACGTGCCAGCTCTGCTCTCTCAAGAGCAGGCCCAGGCACCTCAAATGAGAGGACTGGTTTGGAGCTGGGCTTTTGGCTTTGGGAAATTAGAAAATCAGACTAGGTAGGGAATTAAAAAATACACTTTGTTAGGAGCAGGAAGCAAGAAACCTTTGGGCACCAGTCAGTAAACAACACCATTCCCACAGCAGCAGGGGCTTCCTTGTGGCAACGAGCCCATACCCAGGAATGGGAACCCGGCTGGGCCACGGGAGGGAAGCTGCCAGACCTCTCCCTCCACAGCTGCACAGTTTGGCACAGATGTTGAGTCCAGCAAGAACAAGGCCTAAGAGGAAGATTTCGCCCGGCCCGAGCCAGACTTGGAGCTGAGGAGCTTCTCCACCATGGTGCGGGCGTAGCGCAGGCGGCTGGCCAGCTCCCGGCAGCAGCCGTGCTCCTCGATCAGGCTCAGCTTGTACGTGCGGAAGTCCCGTTTCTCATCTATGTATGTGACAGCAGCCATGAGAGGGCACAGGATGACCTTGGTGTGGTCCTGCGGGGAAGAGAACACACGCTCACTGAGCACTGTGCTCCTTGGGGCAGCGTTTCCTCCGGATGAGCCGTCTCGGCAGCACCCGGAGCGTGTGACAAGGTCCCTCTGTAGAATTCCTTCAGAGCGCAGCAAAGGGCAACAGCTGGCTGCATCAGCCAGCGTGCTGCTCCAGAGCATAGCCCCTCGTGAGTGAGGAGAGTCTGGGGGCTTTAGGTACCAGCACAGACAGCTCCCTGGGCAAAGCCTTGGCTCAGCTCATCCCCTCCTGCCACTGTCCAAGCAGCACCACGTGCAGCCGGAGCCACTGCCCTGCAAAGAGCCTCACCTGGAAGAAGTTGATCTGCACAGTGCCGTTGCTGAGGTGCAGGATGATGGCACTGCGGGTCCGGAACCAGGTGCACAGGTAGGGCAGTCGGGCCAGCTCGTCCCCTTCCCGTGGTGTGATGTTCGCCCCCGCCTTCAGCAAGTGCTCGCTCATGTAATTCCGGAAGTACTTCAGTAGTGTTATCTGCACAAGGGATGGGCTCTGAGGAGCTGAGGGTGACCCCAGGCACGGGAGGCAGAGCACAGGGACTGCCATCACAGTCCCAGACCCTCCTTACATCTTTCAGAGCTTGAGGTGTCACAGCAAAAACTTGTGGAAATCCTCAAAGTTAACTCTGACCATGACACATCAGACTCGCTTTGCTGAACACTTAGGTACGTGCAAATCATGTGAGCACTTAAAATTTCATGCAACTGCTCATAAATGAGCCTCAGATAGCAGTTAGAGCTGCTAGTGTCTGTCCTTGGGCCCCCGTGTCACCAGCTGGAGGAAGCCTGCAAAGTGCCAGTGGCCTCCAATAAATGTTTCTCCCTGGAACCCATCCAGCCATCAAAGCCTAAGGGTGGCAGGAGTTTCACCACCCCCCAGCCAGGGCTCCTGTCCCCAGGACTGACCTTCTTGTTGAGGGCAGAGGGGTAGGACCTCACAGTGAAGTAGGACTCGGTGTTGTTCTGCTCAATGTACTGCAGGTTGTCCCCATCGTTGTACATGATGAGCCGAGTGGAGTCATTGAAGAGAACCCCAACACTGTTGTCACAGAGCTGGTAACCTGCCCAGAAGGGACCCCATGAGACCTCCAATCTCAGGGGACTGCCAAGTACCAAGGCAGATGGTTTATCACCCAGGGACTCCCTAACAGCCCCCCCACAAGGCCCTGCCAGGTCTCCTCTTTGGGAAGGTCTGCTGGCACTTTTCCACCTCTGGATTTGTCATCTCCTTTATTGCATCAGCTGCTTCAAAAACAGCCTCTGCTGCCACCGTGGATCCCTGTGCAGGCTGGGGAGAGCTGGGTCACCTCATGCACAGATACTATTGTCCACGTTAAAGTGGCCAGGGTGATGGCGAGTGACCACTGCTCTGGATTCCGGGGGTATTTGGTAAGATTCCTGGCAGTGGTCTTGGACACACACACTGGAATATGGTGATTAAAAACCCAGGCCTAGGAAATGCCCCAACCCAGGCTTCTCCCAGCCCCCTCAGGCACCAGGAAAGCCTGAAGCATTGCCACCCATAGCATTTACCGAGTCCGTATTTATCCGAGTAGTCCACCCATTTGCTAACCCAGAAGATGGGAATGCAGGCTGGGTCCTCAGCTTCTTCTGCAGGAAGAAAGCAGCTTGTTAGGAGACATTTCCCAGAGGCTGTGCACCCCACGAGCCCGTGGGCTGCCCCAGGCTCACCTTGCCTCACTGCTACTCTCTCGGAGGGCTTGGCTGCATTGACTGCAGTCAGCTGCTGCAACATGTCAGCCAGGTGGCAACTGACAGCATCTCCCATCTCCCGCAGCCCTGCCGCTTCATCCTTGTCCGGCAAGGGCTCCTGGGCAGGGCTGTCCAGTCCTGGGCCAGACAGAGAACAGTGTGAGGCGTTGCCAGGGCGAGGTTTCCAAAGGCACCAGACTTACACCCTACCCCAGGTACAGGCAACACCTGACACACAGAACGGCTCATGTTGGACGGGAGCAGGGTAATTCCAGAGCACAGGGCACAGGATGTGTCCAGAGGATTCTGGAATATCTCCAGTGAGGGAGACACCACACACCCTCTCTAGGCAATCTGTTCAGTGCTTGGGCACTGCACAGGAGAGAAGGTCTTCCTCACGTTCTGGTGGAACTACCAGGTGTCAGCTTGAGCCCCTTACAGAGCTGAAGCAAACGCAGCGCTTCACCCGGGCAGAGCAGGGAGAGCCCCCTCACCCCCAAATGCTCTGAGCCTCCATAAGGATCAGGAGAAGATGAGAGGGAGGCACACTGAAGGTTGTGGATGCTGCTGCAGCCCGGGTGGGCTCTGCCTGGCCCTGCAGCCCCTGGTGGGCTCGGCCCTGCCCGGCCCCACCTGGGCACCCACGGGTGGTACCTTTATTGAGCGCGGTCAGCGGCTTGCGCCCGCCGAGCTCCATGCTGCTGGGAGCCAGGGAGAAGCGGGGCGCGATGGTGAGGCAGCTGGTGGGCAGGCGGGTGGGGAGGTAGCCCGAGGTGAAGAACTCGTCCTTCAGCAGCTCGTCGATGGTCGGGCGCGTGGCGGGGTCCGACCTCAGCATCTTCTGGATGAGGTTTGCGGCCACAGGGTTGATGTGCTGAGGGACAGGCAGAGTTTAGAGACGGTCAGGGGACAACGTGTGCTGGTGACAAATGAAGAGGGTTTGCAGCCCAGGGAAGCTCCACCTGGAGCAGAGCCCCAGTGCTGCATCAGGCAAGTAGGACACAAGGCTGGGGAAGCAGAATTGGGTAGCCCAGAGAACCGGCTCCTAACAGCACCCAAAGCCTGAGGTCAAATGACTTGAGCAGCACCAACTCATCAGCAGTGGGATGAGCTGGGGACGTGGCCCAGGCCTCAGGGACTTGCCCACATCCATTCACCCCCACACACCAACAGCCCAGCTCAGATTTTTGCTGGACTGGGGGGCAGGGAGCTGCTGGCTCCTCACAAGGCTCACACCACCCCAGCCTGAACCAGCCCCCCAGCACTGAGAGCCCCTGCCCTGCTATGGGAGAGCCCACGGAGTGCCAGACACAGAGGCTGCAGCAGGAGGCTCACCAAGCTCACTGTGAGCCAAACAAGCTCCACAGGAAGCAGCATACCTTGGGAATGGTGTACTCATTCTTCTTGATCCGGATGTACGTATCCTTTAGACAAGAAGTCTCAAACGGCGGTTTCCCCACCAGAAGAGTGTACCTGGGCATTCCCAGACAAAAGGGTGTCAGTTTGGCAAAAGAGACTCAGATTGTACATAGGAATGACCATGTCCTAAGCACACCCAGGGGCTTTCCTGGCAGAGGGAACACACTTAGCATTGGACACACTGACAGCTATGTGTATTGTGCCTGGATCCTTTCCCTAGAAAGAGAAGCTGGAATCTAGCCCATGCAGGGAAAGTTTCAGTTGGGGAAGGTCGGGAGCTGCCTGGCAGCAGGACTCAGCACTGTGGGGACAGTGACCTGGAGCTCTGGATCACACTGAAGCTCAGAGGGGCCAAGGAGACCAGAACCACAGGGATATTCCCCATGCCCACGGCCTCTGAAAGGCAGTTTGACTCACATGATGCAGCCTATGGACCAGATGTCCACCTCGAAGCTGTGCCCCTTCTTGCCCAGCACCTCTGGGGCGATGTAGTTGGGTGTCCCACACAGGGTCTTCTTGCGCTCCCCATCGTACTCTACCTTGGTGGCCAGGCCAAAGTCACCTGGAGGGACAGGGAGACGGGATGTGACCAAGATGCCCCGGCCGGCTGGTCCCTGGGCTGGGGTCCCTGCCACTTACCGATCTTCACCTCCATGTCGTCGCTGAGGAAGAGGTTGCCCAGCTTGAGGTCGCGGTGGATGACGCGGTGGCTGTGCAGGTACTGGCAGCCCAGGATGGTCTGCCGCAGGTAGTACCGCACCTCGGGCTCGCTCAGCGCCTTCCGCCGCTTGTGCAGCTCCAGCAGCGACTGTGGGGGACGCTCGGTCAGTACCGGGGCGGGGGTTGCGGGACAAGGACGAGCTCAGCGGGGCAGGACGCGGGCAAGGGGACAGTCCGTACCCGGGGACACCGACACCCGCCCCCCGGCCCC